AGCGCCAGACGGCTAGTTGCAGCCATTGCGGGTCTGGATGGCTGATGCTTCCCTGATGTAGTGACACTATGTGATGAGGAATCTTCCACGGGGGCGATTGAGCCAGATTCACCAAGTCGGCAAACCACGGCCTCTGTGGCCAATACGGAGCCACAAAGAGCACCTCCGCCTGTTCGTGTATGAGTTTGCGGATTGCTGCTGGAATAAGAGGCAGTGGGGGAAATGCGTAAAGAAGGCCCTGTGGCCATGGCACTCGTAGAGCATCCGTCCCTTCTGCCCTGGGGTGGAAGTAGCGGGAGTAAAATCTGGGAAGCTGGGCATTGTCCTGCGAGGCGAATAGATCGAGGACTGGTTGACCGAACCTGTGGATGATGGATGAGAACAAGTTCGGGTGAAGCCCCCACTCCGAAGGGTCCACCGTGGCACGACTCAAAAAGTCCGCTTGTCGGTTGTCGACCCCCGAGATGTGTTCCGCCCTGAGTGATCCCAGGTTGGGTTCCATCCAGGTGAACATTTGTCTCGCCTCCGTCATTAGGGATCTGGACCGTGTGCCCCCCTGACGGTTGACGTGCGCCTTGGCCGCCACGTTGTCCGTGCAGACTAGAACGTGACGGCCCTTGATCGAGTGTCTGAAGTGTAGCAGGGCTAGATGTATGGCCCTGAGTTCCAACCAGTTGATGCTTTTCTGCAGATCCCTGGCGGACCACCGTCCCTGAGCTAACTGGGAATTCAGATGGGCGCCCCAGCCATATAGGCTGGCATCCGTCGTGATGGTGACTCGATCCGGTTCTTTGAACAGCGACCCCTGGGTCACTGCTCGAGACCACCACCAGCGGAGCACCCTGCGAACAGGTAACGGAACCCTGACCGGGCGACTGGAGGCGCTGGCATTTTGACGTTGGAAGGGGAGAAGGAACCACTGCAGGTCCCGCAAGTGCAGTCTGGCCCAGGGAACGATGGCTATGCAGGAGACCATCTTGCCTAACAATTGTGAAAGTGTCACCAGGGGAACTGTGCGCTGTCGGAATACCTGTCGAGCCAGTTCCATCACGCTGACCGCACGCTTCTGGGAGAGATGGACCATGCAATCTGATGTGTCGATAATGGCTCCCAGGTATTGCAGCCTGGATGAGGGAACTGTGTGGCTTTTTTCGAGGTTTACCGAGAAGCCATGTTGTCGAAGGGTGCAAATGGTGGTGTTCACGTCTGCTTGGGCCGCCTGGAACGACGTTGCTTGAATGAGGATGTCGTCCAGGTAACATTGGACTCTTACTGGAATTTTTCTTAATTGAGCCGCTACCACTGCCAGTACCTTCGTGAACACCCTGGGCGCTGACGAGAGGCCAAAAGGAAGCACCCTGTACTGGTAGTGTTTGCCCTTGTAGCAGAAGCGTAGGAATCGACGGTGAGCCAATAGAATTGGGATGTGCAGGTACGCTTCCGTGAGGTCTATCGACGCCAGGAAGTCGCCTTGTCTAATGCCCCCCAGGATGGACTGGAGGGATTGCATTTTGAATTTCTTGTAGATTACATAATGGTTCAAATTTTTTAGGTCGAGGATGGCCCTCCATCCCCCCGAGGTTTTGGGAACCACAAAGAGGATGGAGTAGAACCCCTTGCCCCTGTATTCCAACGGCACCGGTTCTATGGCGTGAATGTCCATTAGGTGTTGGATGGCCTCCTGCATTAGCCTGTGTTTGGCAGGGTCCCTGGATACCGAACAGGCGGTGAAATGATCCGGGGGTGTGGTTAGGAATTCCAGGGACAACCCGTGTTGGATGGTTTGCAGGATCCAGTCGTCCGTGGAGGTCTGTTCCCATTGGTGAAAGAAATGTGTTAGTCTTCCTCCAATGGGAAGAGCTTGTGAGAAGTCATTTGGCCTTGCGGTAGGGCCAGCCGGCCCCACGAAATGGCCGCTTAGGCTGGTACTGCTGCCTGGGTCGGGAGCCTGGCCTATCATATGGGCGGTCGTATGGCCTAGCCGGCCTCTGGTTGAATGGTCTAGTAGATTGGGCGGCAGGTGCCGCCTGCTGACGAAATGGCTGCCTACGAAAAAAGGGTGTGGATCTTTTATCAGATCTTTTGTTTAGGTGGGCCATCACTTTCCGCTTATCTTTATTCTCTACGAGATAAGGGGCGAGGGCATCCCCAAACAGGTTGCCACCCAAGTACGGGGCGGTCGCTAAACGCCACTTGGCTTTGGTATTGGCCTGCCAATGTTTCAACCATAGCATCCTTCTGGCAATCATGTTGGAAGCTATGGTTCTGGCAGAAAACACTGCCGATTGTAGCGTCGCATCCGCCGCGTATTCTGTGGCAGTGACCATCTTGGCCAGGTCCTGGTGCGTCCTGATGTCTTCAACGGGCACCCTAGCCTGTAGCTGTTGAAGCCACAGAAGGGTAGTACGCACAAAAAAGGATGCCGAGGTTGCCGTTTTGGTGGCCCACGCCGCCGACTGGTGTGTCTTGCGGAAGGTCTGCTCCCACCTCTTATCGTCGGCTTTGAGTGCCTCTAAGAGATCCCCCGCCACAGCCGTCTGGGAAACTAAAGGGGTCCAGGCCTCATCCACCTTGCGTTGGAAAGATCCGTGGATGTTTTGTACAATCTTTTATCCGAATTGTTCGCAGAGGGGAAAGAGGAAGGGGAAGCCCATTGCTTTTTAATTTCTTGTAAGAAAATTGAGGGGCACGGGACGTGGTGTTCTGTCACCGCTTTTTGGAAAAAAATTGGCCTGGGCGCGGATGTGGGATCAGTTTGAGGTTGTGGAAACTGATCAGTCCCTATGTTCGCCGTGGCCGTGGCTTTACGCAGAATAGTGAGGAAATGGTTGGGATTGAATAATCCCCCCGAGGAAGATGTCTCAGGTGGGAGCTCCTCGTCCTCTGAAAAGGTAATCTCGGGTGGTTCCTCCTCATGAGGTGATAAGTAACCACTGCCAGAGGACTGGGCCGGAGAATCAGGCCCTCGATCCGCCAAGCACTCCATAGGGGGGTCTAATGAGTGAGCGGACAAGTCAGTGGCTTCCAAATCGCGTGGACGTGAGCGCTGTGTCAGAGCTCTGTCCACCACCTTGGCTAATAAAGCCTCCAGATGCCCGTCCGAGAAGATGTCCCCTATGTCAGGACCTCTAGGTAAAATGGGCGTTGGAGAGCCGACGGGCTCGGGGATGACGCCTGAAATGGCGGCTTGGTGACCTGAGGCGGAGGGCAGAGGTGACGCCACCGACATACCCGGAATGGACCATACCCCCTGACTAGATGTTGATGGACCCATGTGGTAGCTCCATCTCGGTGGCCGCCATGCCGTCCAAATCCATTTGGGCTTGCCTCTGTGCCCTGGAGAACTCCTTCTCCAGGGCCTGGTGCCTACGGCTGGCTTGCTTTTCCGCCAACTTGGAGGACCTCTTAACCGTGTGCTTGGTTTTGGCTTTGCACTTGCCTGCCGCCTTCTGAAGAGAAGGAGGATTGCAGCCGTGACCGGGAGGTGGAGGATTCGCGCCTGAAGACTGGGGCAACGAGGGTCCTTCCATCCCGTTTGAGCGATCTCAGGACGAGGCGCTGAGATGAAGCTCTGACAGGCAAGTTGTTGGCGGAAGCTGTATTGGAGCAAGTGCGCGGACTGCCCCCCTGGTCACCCGACCAATGAAAATTCTCTCTGGACTATGGTCACGGTGGTTGAGGCAGAGCCGAAGGCACGTTTGGAACCACTGATGGGCTCCTCCCGGAGGCCTTAGATGACCAGGCAATGTGCACCAGAAAAATAAAAAGCCAAAAAATTGTCAGGACGCCCGATGCGGAGGTCCAACTCTAACAATTTCAAGCGCAATGGCGGCTACCGGGGTGAAGGAAAAGGGGAACCCACACTCAGCTGAATGTTTCAGGAGGAGCTTGCCGCCAGGCCCTTTAGGCCTGAAGGGAAATGCTGCCGCCCCCCCACGCTGGGCCTGCTGCACTCGCGACCCTGTGGTTCCCTGAAGTGTCCAGAGGGTTGATCTGACCGCTAGTGTTGAGACTGAGTCACAAAATGTCGGGCGCCAACAATACTTCAAGATGGTGGCCGCGACCTTCCGGGAGGCCGAAACAGGCCTCCGAGAGCTCTAGCCCTCTGTCAGAGACCAGCAGAGTGTCAGGGGAACCTCAAAACAGCCGCAGGCCGAAAGGCTGAAGTTTTAAAGCAAATTTACGGGCGCCGAAAATGCGGCCAAAATGGCGGCCGCGACTTTTTGGGAGGCCGAAAACAGGCCTCCTAAAGTTCTAGCCCTCTGTCAGAGACCCACAGAGTGTCACAGTGGGCAGGGGAACTTTAAAACAGTCGCAGGCCGAAAATTGAAGTTTTAAGGCAAAATTTTCGAGCGCCGAAAATGTGGCCAAAATGGCGGCCGCAACTTGTAGAGAGGCCGAAAACAGGCCTCCGGCGATCCTATGGCCTGGCAGGGACCCTGTGGGGCGATGTCAGGCCCAGGGAAATCAATAACAGCAAGGTAGCAGCAATTTGGGAACGAAGGAATTTGTTGTTTTGCTGAATAATCAAACGTCGAAAATGCAGCCAAAATGGCGGCCGCAAGATTTCGACGGTTGAAATGGACTCCGACAGGTCTGGAAAGGCCTGGGAGGAGTCCTGATCTTGCCTGTTTCCCTCAGATGTCTGAGGGAAAAACCCCTGGGCAGGTGGAGAAAAAAATCAACAAGCAGTCTCTGTTGATCTTTTACCTCCCCCCCCACTTTAATTTGAGAATTTGGGAGAGATGAAGGAAGGGAAATTCCACCCCCCTCCTCACCCCTCACTTCCAACAAGCTGCTATCAGCCTGGGGGAAGTTGCATTAATCCCTGATTTAAGTATAAATTTTTTAGATAGCCAATATTTGAGGGAGACTTCACCAATGGATTAATAATTGTCTAACCTGATCTAGCAGAGAGCCAAGCCAAAACGAGTCATCAAGAGCGGAGACCAAGTTAAGACTGGATTACCAGTAGGAGGGGGCGTGACAAGTTTTAGATACTTGGTCTCAAGAGCAGGCAGACAAAGAAAACCCATTGGTGGAGTCTCCGTCTCCTGTACTGGAGAAGGAAGAGTTTCATATTTTTAAAACATCTACTTTGAAGAGTGTTCATTTCTGTAAGTAGAGGATTACTTAGTGATCAAGAAAAAATATTTCCAGTTGTTATGTTTTCTGGCCATGGTGATGTCCACTTTCTCTGCAGAACATCCACATAGCACTGCCACCTATGTAGGTGTGTCTATAGACCAAGCAGTAGGAAATCTAGTGGCTGGGAATATTTGAAACAAAAGAATGTTTGTCCCTATGTAGAAAAATGGCAAGAAAGGAGTTTATAGTAACTCAGGAACAATCAGGGGATAGCAAAAACTGTTAAGAAGGAAGCTGTCATAGGAAGAAGTCAGTATAAAAGCAGGAGAAAGAATGGTGGGATTAGGATGAAAGTCAGATATGAAAAAAGGAGTACTGTAAAACATTTATGGGAAAGAAATATAATTGAAATACAACTTGAAATAGAAGTTCACTCTATGTAAAATCTCTGGTCATTAACTGCTTCATAAAATGGTGCAGAATTTGATGTGCCATAGCATGGTATATCCAGAAGCAGTGTTTATATGGTTAAGTGTTTAAATTAAAGGTGGAGCTCCTTTGCCCAAGAAAATAATAGGAGCATAAAATGCAGAAGCTAATTTGTGTTTTATGTTATTTTAGAAAAATATAGGGCTGCCCATAACTAATCTTCTTCTGGTACAAAATGCCTATAGAAGAAATAATGCTTGTCTTCTTTTATTTTCTCTAATCCCAGAGAGATCGTTTGCTAACACATAACTAGCATGCCTCATTTGTCTATCTGTTAGCTATACCACATTTGTAATTGCATTGCATTCAAAAGCTTTGAAGGAAAGATCCACAGGCTGATTCACAGGAGCTCACCTGGAAGAATAGAGTTGAAGATGCAAAGAACTAGTCCACGTAGACTGAAGTGTCCCAGGCTATAATTCCGATACATCGGAATACAGAGTCTTACAAATATGTAGTAACCATAGAACAATGAACCAAGAATCTACACAAGAGGGGAAACCAAAATCAGTTGATAATCAGAGAAATTTGGAAGGAATCACAAGGCAAATTTAAAAAAAACTATTGACCATCTTCCTCAAGTGACCTTCATTTATTTTACTGTTGCTTAAAATCTAATTGTTTTAGATCAGTGTTTCTCAGCCTTGGCCACTTGAAGAGGTACGGACTTCAACTCTGTGCTGGCTGGGGAATTCTGGGAGTTGAAGTCCATACCTATTCAAGTGGCCAAGGTAGAGAAACACTGTTCTAGATGAAGGCAGAATGGTGGAAAATATACTTCTATAAGCAAAGAAAATTATTCAGAAGCTTTTCTTTTGTTGACTTGTTTAAATTCCTGAATCAGAAAAAAAAACAATGCATAGGATAACTGGTTGCTGAAATTAGTACATTTGAGCTGGATGCCACTTCCACTCTTTTTAACTCTATACCATTTTTTAATAGTGGAGACAAGGCATTTTACAATGAGATATAAGTGATTACCATTCCTAGCCTGCAACTATTTTCTGCAATATCCAACTGTTGAAGGATGCTTTGACCGTGGTTTAAGAGTTAAGATTATAATGTTTTACAAAGACAGGAATATGTACAAGGTTCCCATTAGGCCTTAATACTGAAAGCAGCTAAACTGGCTGCACTTCTAGTGGAGATACACAAGCAAGACAGCTAAGCGCTTTTAGGTCCAAGGACTGTTTTCCATCAGGTAAATGACAGATAAAGTAAAGTCACAAACCTGTGCAATCTTGGTAGCCAGATAGCTCCATCTTACTGTGGGTGTTCTGAAAAGAATATATCACATTATTCAGTTCTCAAATGGTTTGGTGTTATTCCACATCATATTTTTAGCAAGCATAATTAAGTGCAAGACCTAGATATTGATTGTAGCAAACACAATATAAATTCAATTGCAACACAGCAATAGCACTTGGAATTATACACCACTTCACAGTCCTCTCTAGGCAGTTTACAGAGTCAGCATATTGCCTCCAACAATCTGGATCCTCATTTTACCAACCTCGGAAGGATGGAAGGCTGAGTCAACCATGAGCCGGTGAGACTCAAACTGCCAAACTGCTGACAGCCGGCAGTCAGCAGAAGTAGCCTACAGTAATGCATTCTAACCACTGTACCACCAGAATATATCACAATATTTCAATGATATAATGTAGATAATTTTATTTGATAGGTGTGACGTTGTTCAAATTGCATGTTTTTTTCTGAATCTGACAGTCATTATTGATATGGTTATACTTTGATTTTTAAAAAAGTAATTAAATGAATAAACAACACTGGTGGAAATATATAGGCAGAAGAATATGGAAAAAAGATCTGAAGGCTTCATATAACCAATTAATAATTAAAGTTCAACAACTTGTTTTGTGGATTGAAAGCATGGGTGGAACAAAGGAAATAGGAAATGTGGAGCAATTTTGCTCTACTCATAAAAAGTATGTTTGCTAATGCGGTTGCACAATGTATTTAATTCAAAAGTTATGATAAAAATATTAAAGGTAGTCCTTGACTTACGACCAGTCGCTTAGCCCAACACCCCCATGGGGGCAAAAGTAGGCCCAAGGCCTGTGGGGACCCTGAGGGGTGGGAAGCATAACATGGGGTATCTCAGGGGGTGGTAGAAGCCCTGGGAGGTCTGGGCCAAGCAATCCTGGGCCTGCTGCTTGTTGTCCCAAGGCTTCCCCCACCCCCCAAGTACTCCATTCTCTGCTTAATGACTGCATCAAAGAGAACAGAGATGGTGGACATTAAGTGAGGTGATCACATGGTTACTTCACTTAATGACCATCACAACTTGCGACCGTAATGGGCAGGCTCCATTCTGGTCACAAGGACTACCTATATTTGATTTGTCTGCAACTCTTTAATATACAATGGGATAAACAAGCAAAGAGAATTCAAATCCTACAACAATATTCCATAGAATTAAAGATTAAGATTATTAGAAGCAAAAAGAATATAAAGTTGGTTTATTTAAGTTTAAATTAAGACCTTTATTTGCAAGGACTATGTATTTGCAGACATTGGAATTAAAACGTTGATGTTTTATAGATTTGTTTATAGGTAAGGGATGAGACATGGAGTGAAGAGTATTGGTTTGTAACTTTGTAGTGGGTGAAGGGTTTCTAAATTTGTTTATAGTTGTGGTGCAGTTTGAAAGTCAGTTCTTTACATATTTTCTTATCACATTTTTCTTTTTTTCTTGTACTTTTTCTTCATACTATTCTCTTTCTGTAGGTTTAGTTTGTATTAGTTTTTATTACTGCAATTATAATTCTTAGTAAAAATTACATCTAAAGAAAAAAATCAACACAATGGGGGTACAATGATATTATAGGAATTAATATCTAGCACTTAGAAGCTAACTTTTTGTATTTGTATCCCGCTTTTATTTTTTTTACAAATAGCTCAAAGCAGTGAAACATATTCAACACTCTTTCCTCCTCCTAGTTTCCCCACAACAAGAACCCTGTGAGGTGGGTTGAGCTGAGAGGGAGTGAATGGCTGAAAGTCACCTAGTTGGCTTTCATGGCTAAGATTGGACTAGAACTCATGGTCTCCCGCTTTCTAGGCTGGTGCCGTAACCACTAGACCAAACTGGCTCCCTAGTTGCATCCTGACTAAAAATTAGCAATACTACAAGCAAATACATATAACACCAATCCCTTCACAACGGAAATGAAATTGCCACATGCAAAGTTATTCATTACCTGGGATATTGATCTCGGTAAATAAGAGTGGGAGCAAAAAGAAAATACAGGTACTGGGAAACTTTAGGAAGATGAAAAGAATCTGGAAGGAAAAAAAACCCAGAAAAGTAGTTTGGTACTAGCACATATAACACACACAAAAAAAGTAAACTCCTGTTTTTTACCTTGTTCCTGGCTTATTAATTCCAAGTACAACGATGCTTCTTGTAAGGAGTTTCTACAGTTCTGCCTGACTGGACAAGCCTATTTAAGTGTTTCTTAAATTCAGCTGTGTAGACTTTTAATTCCCAGAATTCAGCTTAAAGTTGTTGAGGTTGAGAAACATGGGCCTGTAAACCAGTGCCACCTAATAAGAGTGCTACTCCCAGAACAGCGAAAAGGACAAGAAGGTTTTATCCTCACACCTGCTACCAATAGTTCTTGACTTATGACCACAATTAGGATCAAAATTTCCATTGCTAAGCAAGGTCGTACCTGGTTTTATGATATTTTTTGCTATGGTTAAGTCAATTACTGCAGTTGTTAACTGAATCATGCAGTCATTAAGCAAATCTGGTCTCCCCCATTGACTTTGCTTTTGTCAGAAACAGACTGGAAAGTTTGCACATAGTCACGACATGATCCCGGGATGCTGTAACTGTCCTAACAACATGCTCGATACCAAGCAGCCAAATTTTGATCACATGACTGGGTATGCTGTGTCGGTTGTAAATACGAGGACTGGTCTTAAGTCACTTTTTTTCAATGCCATTGTAACTTGGTAGCCACTAAATGAATGGTTGCAAAGTTCAGGGCTACCAGTATAGAATTAGTGCAAGGCACAATTACTCACTTGAGCTTTGAGGAGTAGCAGAGACTATTCGGGGAACATTCTCCCTGACGAAAGAGTGAGCTTTCATCACAAGGCGTACCTATAAATAAAATGACAGGTAAGATCTGTTTAAAAAAATAACAAAATGGGAGGAAAACGACAATTATGTAAGAGAAAATGACATAAGAGAAAAAATACATACTACATCAAATTTTTCAATTTTTAAATATAATATGAAACCATGATCACAAGGAAAAAACTTGAAAGGTTTTTCTGTTACATCAAGAAAGGGCCAGTGCAGAAGCAGATGTTATCCGTCCAAAAGTATAAATTCAGCATACCTTTGTCTTTCCACAAAAGAGTACTTTTTTGCTGCACTGGTTACTCAGTAAATCGAGAGTTCATATATAGATACATTCCAAATGTTTGAAATATGTCAGAATAACCTTCATATCTTTAAAATGTATCATTCTTGCCCAAACTACATTAATAAAACTACAGCGATTGTGCTGAAATGGAATGACAGTGGGGAAAATCCAGACTATAAGTGTCTTCTCCTCCTTCTACCCTAACAAGATTGACAATCCTCAATTTCAAACTAGAATTACTCTTAAGTACAGATCAAATTTATAGTCCCATCCCAACATCTTCTAAATGTTCCAACATGCTCCAGTTTTTAATGCAGGAAATCCTGTAGACTAAAATAGGAACCAATCCCCTGATATGGTATCAAAGCATCACAGACTAACTTTGCAATTGTGTTTATAATGGTTTCTGGAATTACTTGAATTATGTAGATAAATAAAAGATATGTATATGCACACACAAACAATAACACTGTCTATCCAATGATAAAGCTGAAGATCAAGAAATTAACTCCCCAATGGTATGCAACTATAAAATAAATTAAAATTAAATAAAAAAAATCTAGGGGAGTGTTATAATGTAAATACATACAAAAACTACACACAAAATGTACTTGAAATGAAAAAATACAACAGAAAAAAGAAAAGAAACAAGTATAATACATCATTTTAGCAATTAACAATTACAAATCTAAATATACTTATGTAATATATTATTCAAGTACATATGTTAATTTTTGCTACATTTATATAACTATGATTGTTTTTCACCTACTGTATTTTGTATAAATGAGTTCCATATTTTATTATACTTGTCTGTACAAAATCTATGTCTATAGACAAACCACTGACAGGTAGCAAGATTTTCAATCCATTGAGTGAATGGGGCCATACAATTATCTTTCCAATGTCACAATATCAGGTTTTTAATCCATAGTAAGGGCATGGAGAATCTATTTGCATAATCCAATTGTCAAATTCCATATACTAGGTATATAGTTCAAAAGAATATCATCCTCTGAAAATTTTAGCTTTTGTCAGAATCCTGTTCACCACTTACACCCACTCCTTATTAAGTATAAGACATTGTAAAACATGTGTTTTAAAGCAGCATCCTTACTACATCTCTAACAGAATGTTCTTAGACAATCCCTTTTTGTACAAATGAAATGGACTCCAAACATTTAAATGTTATTTTTTGTATAATTTGAGGTCCATTGACACTCTTGCTATAAAGCTAAGATACTCTGCCATTGTCTAGGCCAGGGGTAGGCAACCTTGGCTCTTTTATGACTCGTGGACTTCAACTCCCAGAATTCCTGAGCCAGCTGGCTCAGGAATTCTGGGAGTTGAAGTCCACGAGTCATAAAAGAGCCAAGGTTGCCAACCCTAGCCTAGGCAATATAGGAACTTCTGATTCTTTATTTCATTTATTTCTTAGCATCAGCATATCAAATTAATTTACTAGTAATGTATCTATAAAAAAGTTTTTTGTTTTGTTTTAAAGGATTTTTTTTGATCAAATATACTGTCCATCTCTTTATCCAAGTGACTCTGCATTTTACAAATACAAACCATAAAACCATATCAAAGAGATATATCTAAAAGCAAAATTAAAACAGAGTGAAGAACAGAATAAAAGCAAAGTTTAAAAAAGTGAGTTAAAAGGTGGCTACAAACCACCCCCCGAGTTGAATGCCACTCTTTAATCACCACACCATTTAGCAGAGCCAGGTCTTCAACACTCTTTGGGGGGGGGCAACCTCACCTCTGAGGGCAAGATATTTCAAAAGGCAGAGGCGGCAGCAGACAAGGCTTTCTTCCTAGATCCCACCGGTCAAAATTCTTTAACCAACAGGGATCTATAACACACCTTTCCTACTTAACCGGGTGGAAAGGGTCGATGTAATTGGGACAAGACAGGTTCCTTAGGTAACCTGGTACCGTCACATTAAGGGTTTTGAAGGAAATGATGAACACCTTGAATTGGATCTGGCAGCAAATCAGCATCCAAAGTAACTCATGAAGCAGAAGCGTTTGTGGGAAAAAACCCAAATTGGTTAGGTTTTTAGTGGGGTGTTTTGAGAAATTTTTAGGGGGTGTGGGGGGGGATAGGGTGGGTAGGCCAACCCATGCCATGTCGGGGGGACACGGCACTAAAGTGATCAGGGGGGAGGTTGGGGGACCAGGGGAGGGTGTTGTGATAGGTACGGTCAGTGGGAGGGGCAGATATGG